TATAATCATATATATATATATATATATATATATATATATATATATACACAGATGAAACTATCGCCCGCCGGACACCGTCCCGGTATTTCTGAGTCAAGGTTTCGGGGCCTGAATTTTTTATGTTACTAGGTAGGCCTAACAATCGGGTATTAAAATAGGACTTTTAATGGTGATAGGCTCTAGGCTAGGCCTAAAGTGTAGGCTAGTCAGCCTTTGTTGAAAGGGCACTTCAAGAAAAGTGGGTTTCGTTCGAACCCAACGAACCCCCCTGGCTACGGGCTTGAGTATAACTGCACTGTAATGCATAGGCCTATTTTAATGCACTACTTAGATAGGCTTTCTTTTTCCATCTTGATTTCAGAGGTCAAAAACATTTTTCAATTTTTTTTCAATCATATAGTTGTGTAGAATAGTCTTTTGAGAACATTTTCCAGAAAAAAATATGGAGTTATGATAACATGAGGATAAAAATTCAGCCTCAAAACTTATCTTATTTCTGTTGACTAGGTTGATGACATGATCATTACCTTCATGATCATCGTTCAGTTCACATAATAATCATCAACATCATCGTCCTTGTATCTGTCATCATTCTTCACCAACCACATAACTAATCAAAATACTGTACACAAAGTAAAAAATCCACATTTTTATTGACTGTTTTTATATTTTTTATTGCATGACCATAAAGATGGGAAATAATTTAGCAACATTTATATTTTTCCCTTCCTTAAAATCTCTTAATATTTATTACATACTTAATAAAATCGCTATCATTAAAGATATACTGACTGAAAAACAATCTTTATAAAAAAAACTCTAAAAAATGTATATATTAAAACACTGAATTGCTCATTTCATTTCCAAGAATTAATGAATGACACACATTTGATCTACAATGTAGTTCGTTGGTAGATTTAAAGGCTTCAGTGCCAATCACTGAATTGGGTCTATTAAATAATATAGCAACGGAGTCTGTAAATTGGCAGGTAAATATGTGAGGCTTGCCATCCCAAAACCACTATCAGTGACCATAAATGAAAATTGACTTTTTAATATATTCATATTCTCCACATTATAAGCTTTAAAATGATGGGTCATTTACTGGAATTGACTTACTATTGCCAAAGTCATGAGTAAAAGTATTATGGATTCTCTGTACTAAAGTATACAATACTGACACAATCTCGTGCTAATTACTCAGTTTAACATATGGCAAAAAGTATGCTGGTTTTGGAATGGCATGCCTATTTTTTTATATATTCCTAAAAAAATCAAAGAAATTCAAATATTCATTCTCATTGTTTATTAGCAGTAAAACAGTATATCTTTAAAGAACCATTTAAAGTCCTACCATAAAAATGCTGCTGCTCAAATTGATATGCTTTCCTAATATGATAGTACCATTAACAAACAATAAATAATGTTTAAATTAGATTTAAAAAAAAAATAATAACCACATAATATTAACAATGCATACTGACAGCTACTGGAAACAGTTGTGGATAAGCGTTATCACATTCTGGTGTTGTTTTTCAAACTTTGAGGTCCTATAAAGATGTTTACTTCAGAAATAGGCAGCAGTTTGGCGATTTTTCTAACACTAAGCTTGGGTGACCTCTAATCGTGTTTGGGCATTTGTCTTCATAGGGGTTCAATAAAAATTAAACCATAAAATTTACTGCAGCAGGGGTCCCAACTCTCCTGCAAGTCACGAGAGTCTCCTGGAAATTGGGACGGCCTCCTGTACTCACGCAAGCAAACCAGACTCTCCAGGAAAACCCATCTCCTACAATTTCATAATATTTGCATGTTTTTACTACTTTATTATCAATTGTCTCATGGAAATCCGATGGGTATCACCATGCCCAGGAATATAACTTTAAAGTGTAAAGAAAGCTCATTTAGCTAGATCTTCCGGAAGTGATTTTTTCCTACTTGAGACTTTGCTGCAGCATAGTAGCTTTAGAGTGAACCATTTAGCTAATCGTTTATGATACGCCCTCTATGAATGAGCCAAGTATATACACATTAAGATTTCTGTCTGAAACCCTGAAGGAAACATTCAACAACTAATGATTAACAGATTATTTGTCTGATAATGTATGTGTATTTCAAACAAATGAAATTGTCTCTTTGCATACCTGTTGAAAGTCATACATCCGACTTCATCTGACAATTCTGAACAAACATTATCAGACACTATGTTGACTCTAAATCACTATACACACTATCAAATTTTATGTAACAAATTTGTGTGATGTGCCCATATATGGGCATGATGATGTCATATTACACCCTAATACGGGCATATCACATTTATATGTCGCATAACATTTGATAGTGTAGACAAAACTTAACAGACAAAAAATCTGAAAGAGAATGACAGCCTTTATCAATAATTTTTGAGTCTTCCTTGTCAGTTGGTGGAAGGTGAACAATGTTCTCCCATGGTGTTTTTTGCAAATACAAATACTGTACATTTAATAATACAATTTTTTTCAGGTGTGATATTCCTCTGAAATTTTAGCAGATCAGGTGGCAAGAATCCAAAGTAGCAAGCCTAAGTTTAAATTTTACACCATACATATTACAATATATCAATATTTCTTGCATTATAAAACTTTAATTTCTCCTGTACAATTTATACAACAGTTTAGTGTTAAGTTATCATACTTGGTGAGTGGATGATACCTATCAATCATCTTTTGCATAGGTGTGCCACCCCCTGTGGAAAGTTGACTTGAATGATTAGGTGTCTTGCTCCCGTGACTTGGCATAGTGGCATTTTTGACTGAGTTGGTTTTATTCAATAATATCTGCAAAAAAGATTTATACAATAAAATGTTACATAATAATTGAAGTACTGCATTAAGCTGTGCCCAAACTATCACATTTTCTTGGACAAAAAACGGTTGTATGCCCATATATAGTCATGATGTGCCTATATATGGTCATGGTATGATGTCATCATGACCATAATTATACATGTCACATGTTTTTGTCAAATCAAATCTGATTGGACAGGGCTCTAGGAAATAGTACTACAAAAGAAGTTAACAAGAAGTACAGACACTGCAAGAGCAGTCTGGTTTAGAAATGAAAACTAAAACATTGGAAAATTCTCTAAAGCTATAATATTGCATTTTGTTATTATTATTATCACCATTAATAACCTTATCAATATTGTTATAAACTAAAAGCTGTTATTTTTGTTGTTATTATTTTTATTATAAACATAAGAAGACAATTGATAGAAAATGAATTTTAGGTACAGTAGACTGTGTATTGTCACTATAACAATACATAGCTTCATAGCTTATGTATTTAAAAAAACTCATGTATTGAATTTGTAAAATGTAAAAAGAAAAAACCTGATGTCTTACATCTTTGGCAAGCATTTCAGCATGAGTCCATTCAACAAATACATTATCCTTCCTAGTAGCTCCCTTCTCCTGAGCTAGATTGCCCAGTAAATGGGTGGATACGGAGTTGGCTAGTTGTTCATTGTGAAGTGCTAGGGTGATTACGTTGCTCGATGGGACAATGTTTGTGTGGGAGAGAGTCTGTGATCTCTGGAGTGCAACCGATAGGTATTGTAAAAACCTTAAAAAAAAATCAGTATACTATTAGTGTGTGTGTGTGTGTGTGTGACAATGTCTGTTTGCGCCTGTTTGTTTCTGTCTGTATTTTTGACTGTGGGTGTAAGGTTTACTTCTGTTGACGTGTGTTTGTGTGTCAAAGTGTTTGCGTGTCGGTTTGTGTTTTCTGTTTGTGTTTGTATCTGTGTCTGTATAAAATGTAGTTCCTCAAACACCATAAACATCTGCTGGTTGCACCTCATACACCATAAGCACATTTTAGTGGTCTTTCGCACACCATAAGCACCCTCTGTTTGTTCCTCAGACACCATAAATACACTCTGGTTGTCCTTCACACACCATAAGCACCCTCTGGTACTCCATCAACCACCATAAGTACCCTCTGGTTGTCCCTTAACCACCATAAGCACCCACTGGCGGTTTCACAATCCTCACGCACAAAAATCCCACCTTTTGGTGTCCCTCAAACACCAAGCATCCATTGGTGATGCCTCAACCACCATAAACATCCACTGGTGGTCTATCCAATGCCATCACCGTCTGGTTGTTCCTCAATTACCATAAGAACCATATGGTGGTCCATTACGCATCATAAGTACTCCTGGTGGCCTCTCTAAATTTAATGCGCCAATATAATATTCATTTGTTTTCCTACCTATTTGTTCTCATCATATGGGTCCTCATTTCAGATCGTTCATCCATTAGTTTCTGTAGCGTATAAGTCGATTCTTGGAGTATCATGTTCAGATTGGTACGTAAAGACACCAGTTCATCTACTTGCACTCTGAAACAAAAATCATCAAAAATATAATAAATTCTGCTTAGCTTAAATTTTGCTTTGCTGTTTCATATTTTGTCTCGTGTGGCTAAAATAGGGTAAAGCCAGAGAGGTTTTGCCTCCTTCTGTTCACTCCATATGCTATATTCCTCTACGCTGGTAATTTATATAAAATTATTTTCAAGTTTATAAGAACATCAGGGAGATTTTAATGTCTTGTTTGAGAACGAGCCACTGAGAAATGTGCAATTCTTTTTGCATGACATTACTGGATAAGGCATAGATTTAATATACTGTACTAGTCAGCTGGATTCCATGCAATGAATCGAGAATCAGAAATTAAATGTATTTGCTTCATTCATATGGCATTTAATTATATTCTATTATCAAATGAATATAATAATGCACCATCAATATTGATTGTGAATTCACTCAAACTTTCCCAAAATTTTCGCATCCATGTACATTGTTTCACACTATGTCCTAGCCATAACGCATAATATAGCATCCATATCACCACTATGGCCCAAGCATTTGCAACAGTCATAGTACACAGCTGTACTGCCACCATCAATGTTCAGTTGCCGGGGAATACAAAAACAAGATGGCAAAAGCTCACTATTTGTTGTACGGATATGTAAATGAGAACGAATAATTTTTTTTGGGGAATAGCAAAAGCTCTCTAAGAATATACTACATACAAACACCTTGATTACTTCTCCAAATGCTTTAACAATTTACCTGCTGCCCAGAAACTTGCTGCGCCACACGTCACATTGGATGCTGACACGTTCAAAGTTCTCACGTTCCTTTGCGAGAATTGAGATGGTGTTCTCAAGATCTTGTGCTAACTGCGTCTTATCCCTAGTCTGATTTTCCAGCTGTTGTTGAAGATCAGAACCAACTGATGCAACTAACAGCTTTTTAAGTTCTTTGTTCACCTGTAACAAAAACATGCCAGCCTGAGAATTAGATCTAATGTAAGTGTTTACTTTCATCGGAATTGATTACATATTTTTAAAAATCATATATTTTCATTGATAAATAATAAGTTGGTAGCATTTTATAGACTAAATATTATATATTTATTCACAAGCAATTGCCCAAATCAATGGAGACCTAATTTCACCTCATCGACTCGGGCTAAAGCTTAACTGTGCTACCAATTGTTTTTTTTACTGACCAACTTTTATGATTCAAGAATTGGCCCCAAAACACCTAAATGGTGTCCAGCAGGTGGCAGTTTAAGCAACCATAACTAATAGTAGTTAAGCATAGGTTAAAGTTAGGAATCTCTTGGTTATGCGACTAAATTCCATGCGGTCTAGTTGTTGACAGGCAGTTAAACTGACAACCCTCTCAGATGTGTCTTAGTGGCTAGAGGGTGTTTATAGTCACCCAGCAGCAAGATAAACCAACAGCTGAAAAAAGGGGAGTGGGGGTGGTGGTCAGGGTAAGGGTTTTGGGGTGGAACATGGTGTTTTTTTTTAAGAGTAGCAGAGCACAGTGGGTGGGGAAGTGGTTGAAAATTAGGAGCATATTTTGGGAGATTTATTTTACTGAAAGAGGTTTACAGTGGGCAGAGATATCCTCTCTACTGAGTGCTCTTATTATTAATATCATTATTATTATTTCTTTTCTCAGTTGGCCTTATATAATTTTTGTGTAAAGCGCATACAGGGCAGTGTGCAATATGCACTATATAACATTATTATAATTATTCATCTTATTTAACTGAATTAATGACAACATACATTGTTTTAATAAATAATAATTATTTTTTGTCAGAATTTTAAAGTTTTTAATTTTGTATAATTATTATTACTACCATAATATTTTTATTATCATTAATATCATAATTATTATTATCATTTAATACCTTATTGTTTAATTTTTTGTCTTTAATGATTTAGCGTCATATATCTAACCTGACTTTGCTGAGCCAATTCTGTTTCAAAGTCTTCTCTCTGTTCCTTTGCAGCTGCTCTTTCCTTCTCTAACAGATCTTTTAAAGACTGGACCTCTGTCTGAAGTTCCTCTACCCTCTGGTCTGTAATGGATGATGCATCAATAAACGTCATATCAACCACAGCACTATCGTGAGTCCTCACAAATGGACTGTTCATCGACTTCTGTAAAACTCTACGATCTGGTGAGCTCTCGAGGATTTTCTGTCGCAGCCTCTCTTTGTAGGCTTCTTCGGTGGAGTTTCTGAGCTGCGTGTTCATAAACTGATGTCTTCGTGGAGAAGCTCTGATATTAGTCTGTGTTTCTGACTGGTTTGGGGTCAGGATATTTTCCATACCGTCTGCCTCTGACCTCATGGTTTGAATTTTGGGTTTTAGACCTGCAGAAAAAAAAAACTTGTTTTATCACATACTCATAGTCTTAATCTTTACAAAGATTAAAATTATTCCCTTCATATCTCTAGTTAAAAATTATAGAATATAAATATGTTCTTACTGTGCAATGACTTTTTTTTTTAAGTAAGCAAGGTTTCGGCCAGAGAGAAAGAAGGAAAAGCCGAGGAGGTATCAGTGATTTTTTACTTTAGAAATTCTACGTAAAATATGATTACATATTAAATTAAAATGGTGGAGGAATTTTTTCATTTTTAAAATAAAAAGTAAAACAATCATCTTTGATGATTCACAACAAAGAATTATTAAAAATTATCATATTCTGGAAATTGAACCACTAGTTTTGAAACAAAACACTAACATTTTTGTAGCAAGGAATTCACCTAGCCCACAGAAGTCTCTACCACTGTTGGTATTCAATCAAGAATGATAAATTAAAGGCTGTGGCTATTGTTACACCGGCTGTAAACCAATTCCTAATTCTGATTGGATGTTATTATATGGATCGGATTAGACATCCCATCAGAATTAGGAAATTGGTTTAAGACTGGTGTAAAAATAGCCATTGCCTAATAAAAAATAATAAAAATGTCATAATTTGTGTAATAAAAACATAACTCACCTCTATCAATACTTATGGATTTTACATCTGTAATCATTGTCAGTGGTAGTATTTGTGTGTTGGAAGCCATATTAAAATCTCTTCGTCTTATTCCTTGTTTGAATAAAAAAAAAATAGTACTTTCAAAATGCTTAAATTTTACCATTAAAAAGCCATGAACGAAAAAAACTTAGAAAAAAGTGATACAAATTACTATTATTGAGTTTACCATTATTGAGTCTACATTTCAAACTTCATTCATTCATCTTCAGGAATGAAATTATTCAAAATTTATTCGATCAATAATAGTTTATACAATTAAAAAAAAAATCACAGTAATACTGTAGATTATTATTAAGGTATAAAAGGAGAGAGCCAATGCAGGCTTGTTAGTCAGGAGAGAGAACTGGGTGCAGATGCAACCACCCACATTTTTAAAAAGTCCACTTTTTCAAACCTAATATTTCACCAATTATTGCAAAATGGTATGCTTTGTATTTCATTTACCAGCTCTTCTAACCGTCATAAATGTGGTACATGATACTGTAAGTATAAAATTTGTTGGAAATTGATCAGCTCCTCCTGTGATTGCAGATTGACCATATGAACAAAAAGCTATTATATGTTAATAGGCCTAGTAGAGAATGTAATGTAATGGACATAAAACGATTCTTCTTCAGGTCTCTAGAACCTCCCTTCCAAAACTTTTTTTCTCTGGGACCCAATTTGTGATTTCCCAGACAAGATGCAACACATTAAATGTCATAGTAAATTGCACATTGACCTTTATATAGGATCCCTAAAATGGGATGCTTTATGTATTAAAAAATGAAGACATATATTGTTAATGACCGTCCTTTTCAAAAAACAGTGGCAGAGGAAGTTGCACAGTGAGGGACGATCCGCGTCAGCCCTATTTTTGTTGGGGCTGGGGTAAGAAATTTAAATATTATGGCACCCGTAGGTGGCTGGAAATGGCACTCTCAGATTTAATTTGAATACAATTTTCCCTTTTTTCTCCACTATTTTTTTAAAACTGGAGTGTGGGTTGGAGAGAGTCTTAAGCCTAAATTTAAATTGTATGTTTACCATTGGCGTATCCAGGATTTGAATCCTGAATGAAATGAGAGTCCACACCACGTCAGCACCACCTTGATTTGCAGGTAACATGCCGAAATGTTCAGTATTTCGTACCTGTGCATGTCAGTTATTATTATCATTTAAAAAGGGGCACTTTTTTCAACCTCTGAAGGAGGGTGCTCAGGCACCCCGATCACCCATCCTGGATACACCACTGATTAATGTATACATAATCTTATCAACCAAAATGCATGTAAGGGGAATAGCATATTGTTTGCATTTGCAATAGTTACACATTTGAAATTCATTTGATTATTATGTTATTTTTAGGTCACCTGACAGTAATTTTTCTGTTTTAAGTTTATTTCTATATATTGTTTTTACACAGATAAAAGCACAGACGTACACAATCATGTTGTGGAAAACGGCAACGGAAAAATAATAGTCATATGAGTTTCAGAATATTCAATGTGGGCATAAAAGAAAATATTGTTTTAATGAGGATTCACCTAAAAATACTGGTTTTAAGTCGGCAGACCTGCTAAACTTCACATCAACTGTCTGAAAATGAGCACATAAATTGAACTGTTGTTTGCAAACCTGATCGCGACCCAACGCAAAGTTCGGCGACCCATTTATGGGTCGCGAACCGTAGTTTGGGAAGCGTGGCTCTAGCTAGAACACCCAAATGAATGGAACTTTAATTAAATAGAATTGTTTTGGATATCTATTCAAATTAAATAAAAATTTTAATTTTTTAAAATTATAATATTGATGATTCAAATACAATCAATAATAAGAACCACAAAAAATGCAACTGTCAGAGTTAAGGTGGTGGTTAAGGCTGCTCCGATCACAATAACCACCACCCACAAATCGAAAAACCTGCCTAGCCTAGGCCTAGGTCATATCAAATAACCTCTTTCCAGCCGAAGGCAGGTCGTGGGTGATACTGTATGATTGCAAGGCTAGGCCTAGCAGTATTTCAACATATTGTGACGCTCTGAATCAATTACTTTCAGTCTCACAATAAACACAACACAGTGTCTAAATAAAAGGAAAGTAGTTCAAACGAACCTTAAAGAATCAGTCTACTTAAAATCATAGTTATTTAGTACAGAATGACGTGTCGGTGAAAACAAATCAGAAAACCACCACCGGTACGTAACATTTCCGTGACAGCTTTTCTCAACAATTGCTATGGCGCGCCGTTAGTGCCACAATTCTGCTGATACAATATAGGGGCCTCCCTCCTGAGTGCTAATGGCCTACTAATAACACGTTGGTGATTATCGCTTATAAAACCTAAATACATTATTAAACTTATTGTCAAAATTTAATTTACAAAGGCCATCACTATCAAATCATACAATAACAATTGCAAAAATAACAATAACAATTAATAATAATTTTACCTGAAGTGCCAAATAATAATATTTTAAACTGAAATCGAAGTACAAAAAAGAATTTTGAATAAACTAAAATAATCCATCTTTGTTTGGTAGTAGTGTGTGTAAGTATTTTCATGGTTTGTTGTTCTGCTTGTATTATGTACAGTACTGTGGTTCAATTTATATAGCGCTTTATACCGAAGTCTCAAAGCGCTCGAGGCGTGGACTAGCCGGTACCAGCTATCTCTAGTCTGTCCACAACATCTGTTAAAGTGGTGTTTGTTCTCTCCTTCCATTGATTGAACTGATCTGTTAAAATGTTGCTTTGTTCTCTCCTTTCATTGATTTGATTAAAATTTGAGAATTTGTAAATTTGTTTATTTCAATTTTTCTGGCTTTATAGTCAGACTCCGGAGGAAAACATTTTTTTGATATGTTGTAGATCTGATTTTTCTAAGACAGAAAAAAGTTGTTTGACGAAGAACTGGGGAACGGTGAATGAGATACAGATTTTTTAATATTTAAAAACTGGCGGGAAAAGGTGTAAAATTAGGTGGTTACACCCCCTTTCCCCCGAGTTTTTAAATAGGCCTATTCAAAAATCTGTTCTTCGTCAAACAACTTTTTTCTGTCTTAGAAAAATCAGTTCTACAACATATTAAATTTTTTTTCCCTCCCGAGCCTGACTTTAAGTAATAAAATTGTCCATGCTAATGGAATTGTTTATTGTACTATTCCGGAGGTTTTCTGAATAAATTGAATAATTGAAATTGAAAAGGAAAAAATGACAAGAAGCATATACGACCAAAAAACATTATATAAAATTATACTTTTACTGTCAATCATTTTGGTGATGAAATTACTTAATGAGCACAGACTAAGTAAAAAATGAAATGAAGCTAATACTGTATTCAAACATATGAAGCACAAATAATAAATTATTATACTTTATAATAAATAATAAATTATTAAATTATTATATTATAATAATCTACTTATTATTATTGTTATTAATTATTATTATTAATATTATTATTATTATTATTATTATTATTATTATTATTATTATCATTATCGTCATCGTCATCATTTCAGCTAAAGTCCTGGCCCGCTAATTTTCAAACAAAATTAGAATTTACGATTCACTCGATTCAGTTTTCAAAGGATGAGGACCTGGAGGAATGGAAGGGCGTGTTCAAACTCTGTGTAGCGGCTGTTTATACCTGTAAGTAAAACCCGTGTTTTCATAATAAATTTTTGCTATGTCTTACTTGGATTGAAGGCTGATCATTATTTAAGTACTGTATGTGTTCATTATTTTCCATATAATATTGCGTTTAGATATAAATCCAATCCTCCGCTAAAATCATCAGCATAATCAACATCATTATCATCATCTTAATAATCACCATTATATTATTATCATCTTGATCATCATCATAGAAGTGGTTTGGTGCAGTTTGAACAGCAGTGGTTTCCCAACCTAGAGGTCGGGGTTTCAATCCCCTCGCTGTGCATTTCACTTGTGTCCTTGGGCAAGGCACTTTGTCTGCATTGCTTCTCTCCACCCAGGAGTATAAATGGTTACCTGGTACTAGGTTAAATGCCAAAAAGATGTGAAGTATAGCTGCTGCAACTTTATGGAATAAAGGAGCTTGAGTGACCAGGAGTAGAAATGTGAAGCACTTAGAGGCCTTGTTGGCATTAAGCGCTATATAAATCTAACATCATTATCATTATATTATTATTATTTATTATTATTATCATTCTTATTATACCCAACACCAACATCACTATCGCCATCACATGGCTAGGAATACCCTAATCATAATCATTATCACATCTTAATAATCACCATTATATATATAATCTTCATCACCTTCATTACTATAGGCCCTACCCATCATATATATATATACATATATATATATATATATATATACATATATATATATATATATATATATATATATTTATATATTATTTATATATTATTATTATTATTATTATTATTATTATTATTACTCAAAAGAAAGCCGCCGAGGGCAGCCTTTTGTGAGGCGATGAGTACTGAGGGCGGGTTCACATATTATTTGCAGTGGGAATACAGAAATAAAAGGTACTCTTGTATACAATGACCGTCTTCTTTTCTGCCACCCCTCCCATCACAAATATCACCCTTTTTTTACCCTGTAGTATAACCCACCACTATTAATATTCTAAACCAGTGCGGAACCAATGAATGAACCAATGAATTCTCACATGTGTTGCTTTTGTAGTGTGACACGTCCTGCAATACAAGCCCGTAGCCAGGAGGGTTCGTTGGGTTCGAACGAACCCCCTTTTCATGAAGTGCCCTTTCAACAAAGGCTGGCTAGCCTACACTTTAGGCCTAGCCTAGAGCCTATCATCATTAAACCTCCGCCCTGTGCCTGGATACCAAATTACACTTGTCGCATAATTCCAAGCCTGTACTTCAACCCTTTGATTTTCGAATTTTGTTTTACTAATTAATCATTAGTCTTCAAGACAACTGTCTCTGTTCTGTTGTCTGTTATGATGATGACGGACAATGAAAGTATTCAGTATACTGTACATTCACTTGTCATTAAAACTTATTCAGTATCAATTGTACGAAGCATTGTCTCCTCAACAATGGGGACAACAAATCACGAAGAGAGGTACATTATCATGCACTTTCTCATTAAAATTACAAACTGATGTACATAGGTAAATGCTTTTAGAGATTTTAAAAACTTTGGTAAGTTGGCATCAAATTGATGGACAGCACGTATGTTCTGGTTTAAGCATATATAATGGTCTCAAGAGATACTAAAAAGAAAGATGTATTTGACGTTTTCGGAAACATAAATATACTTTATTTGCGAACAAATTTTTCAATTAATCTTGTAAACATTTCTTAACCTGAAGTAAACTTATCTGCTCACAAGTATTTCAGTTACTCCTGCAACATTTCAATGATTTGTACTGAATATTTCTGTTACTCCTGCAACTTCTATCAACATGAAATATACTTTATTAGCACACAAATATTTTGGTTACTCCTGCAACATACAGTATCTCAACATAAAATATAAATGTATTTGCAAACGAATATTTCCGTTACTCTTGCAACATTTCTCAACATAAAAGGCGTAACCAATACTTCAGTTACTACTCCTTCAACATTTCTCAACAAGTAATATACTTTATTTTCACACGAATATTTCGGTGATTTCTGCAACCTTTTTAATGTAAAATTATGTTGGTGTGTCAATTTAGCAGATTTGTGCAAATTTTTCAAGACAGAAAGATAAATAAGAAACACCATTTCCCTCTAAAACAGTTATCGTTAAAAGACATACTGTGAGGCAGAGAGCTCAACAACCCAACAAAATATCACAGTACATGTATACTGTATTTATTTATTCCTAATATTTATTAAGAGGGCAGCATCCTTGACTATGTTTAAGGACCACCTAAAAAAGCATCTTTTTAATATTTCATTTAGTTTGTGTGTAATAGCGCTCTGAGAGAGTATTATATGGCGCTATATTAAAAACCTATATTATTATTATTATTAAAGATGCAATGATCACAGATCAGCTGATTTGGGTTTTGTTCATCTGATCATCTAAATGTTTTGAGACAAACATTTAGATGATCAGGATTTTTTTTTTTGGCAAGTGCTTTGAGAATAGCACGGTTATATGAAGTTGCTCATAATGCAAGAAAACCAAGAAGAGAGGGTCCCACATTTTTTTTTTTGGCAAGTGCTTTGAGAATAGCACGGTTATATGAAGTTGCTCATAATGCAAGAAAACCAAGAAGAGAGGGTCCCACCTACTCAATTCCATAGTAACATACAGAACCAGCATCATTATACAAAACAACAGAAAGCCTTCAACATTAGAAGCATGTCCCAACCAGATACAAATGGAAGACTCAAGAGCTATTAGACAAGGGTGAGGATGTCATGAGTCTATCCAGGGAAGAGAACCACTTTGTGAAAATTATGGAGGCTGAAGGGAAGTTATGTGGACAGCCCCATTACCATTCAAAACACCTAGAAAAAAATCTACAGAACAGCTGCGAACAGGCATGGATACTCCATTAAGGTCTTGTTAAAGATTGTATTAAGGCAGCACTTCACTACCTTCATGAAGGGTGCCTTGGATAATGGACATGCTGAAAGGGCACCATCACTAAATGAGGGTGAAGAATACTTGCCTCAATTCAGTGTATTCCCAAGAAAAGAGATAAAATATGAGGTGACTGTATTTGATTCCTCTGCCACCTTTCAGGGAGAAAGAAGAGCAAGTTTAAAGCTTAGTATTGTACAGTTATCTCCAGATGTTTAATCCAGAACAACAAGCGGCAAAGAAATCTTGTCATGATTTAGACAAGAGAATATATAACATTTTGTTGACTAGGAAAGTTACAGATTTCCTAGTCACAGTAACAGTTAATATTACCACTACTACAGTAGCTAAGAGATTGAGATGTATGCCATACGTTCACCCTTCAATTCCAGACCACATTTGGGACCTAAAAATTTGGAGTGGTCTTGGGCTTCAGTCTATGCATACATTCTTTTTGTTCCAAAGAAGGGTTTAGATGAAGTACACTTATGTATAGATCGTCATCAGGTCAACAATGACTTGAGAATGCCACCAAGTACCAACAGTAGAGCACATTTTAAATGTAGTTGAAGGATCTAAATATTTAGTTGGATGCCAGAAAAGGCTTTTTTGTGCAGGTGGAAATGTGGAAGAATCTTATAATTTAACAACATTTATTATGCACTGTGAATGCTATAGATTAGGTACAGTACATGCTGATGATAATAAAGCTACATTATATCTGTTTCATATTATTGTTCAATTAACATTTTCACATAGTAAAACCATACTTGTTGGTCCATATTCAACAATCTGTTCACACACAATGCCCTCCACATCCGCTTCCTCACATGCAACTGTATCTGATTGTTTCTTTCTTTTTGTGCTATTGTCCATGGACTCTGACAGTTTTCGTTTTCTCTGTACGTCTTTAGTTCCATATTTCCCAAACCTACTTAACGCTGATATTAGGACAGAGTCAGACTTGATATTTCCAACGGCACCAACGAAAGCCTGCACAGCTGGTCTGAATTCATGCACAGCTTCGGTTTCCATTTTAGCTGTTATTTTATTTTTCAGATTATCAAGAGCCATACACAGTTCCTTAATGTCTTGCTGGACAGTCCGCTCTGAGGGTTTTTGAATGGTTTGTTCTGGAACATTAATGTTGGTGTGTCTCTTATAAATGTCTAAGGATTTTACAGTCTTCTCTTTTTGGACTTCAAACACTGACTGTTTTTGAATGGTTTGTTTTAGAGCATTATTGGTTGTGTCCTTCTTAGCATTGTCTATGGATTTTACAGTCTTTTGTTTAGTATTTTTTCGAACTCTTTTGGTTTTGAAATAATTTTTTTTAACTCTGTCTATAGGTTTTACAGTCTTGTAATACAACCTGTGCAGAAAAATAAAATAAAATCAATTCATTAAAAAATATTACTTTTTATTACTGCTATTATCATCATCATGTTCTAATATCATCCTTGCACTTCGTTAAAGATATATTGTCCCATACAAAATACAAACAAATTTTTGAAGTAAAATGATCAACAATACAGAAGCTGCGTATTATTAATTACAAACAACCCCCCACCCCACACACACATGTATAGTATGCTCACACAAACATGTCAAATGAATAATATCAGCAAAATGGTAAAGGGGATAGATAAAAATAAAAACAAAATTACACTAAAAACATAATCAACATTAGCCATACACTTAACTTACCAGTGGTGGACTGCCATCCTTTTTTTTTTTAACAGAAAAGATACAAAATGGTATACCAATACTAAATATTGACTGTATTACAATAATTTGTAACATCATAGCGTAAAACCTCGAATAGAAGGAAGCCATGGTTTTCTTTTTTAAATAGGCTTCTCAAAGTAGTAGTAGTAGTACTTGGCAAAGTATAGGGGGCTTCTTTTCAAAATGAATGCTCCAAATTTTGGAAATGTTGGAGTGTATTAACTCGAAATAAATCCCCTAAACTACTGTAAAAACCAAGCATGTTTTTAATTTATATTGTTTGTTTGTTTGAAATTCATGTATAGTGTTTAATGTACTACCTCAAAAACAAACCCATGCTACCTTGAAAAGAAGCCCATGGGCTTATTTTTAAAGCTACTTTTGCAAACTGAAGAGGGGGCTTCAATTCAAGATGGGCTTCTCCTCAAGATTAAGCCCAATTCGAGGTTTTACAGTATATTGAAAATTAACCATACCACTTTTTTCATACATACATGTAAAATTACATTGTATCTAGGCCCTTATGAAATGGGTGCCCCTTGTTTAAAAAATTCTGGATCTGCCCCTGCTTACCTATAACACCAACGCATTTCTGGCAGAATAGCACGATCGTTTGCAATCTCTTCATAGTTCTCGGCGTATTGTATGCGCAAAGCAGACTTGTAAGCTGCCCACGCAGATGCTGGGTTGTGCCCATTTGCAAAAAGTTGTTTAAATTTTGTTTCCGTCTCCATAGACACATCTCTATGTCGCAACACCTCCGCACACTTAATTGGGTGATTATGCTTGAACCCTAGTTTTACAAATGTTGGAAATTTCCAAATATGCTTATAGTTCTTACTGAAAAAGAATTAAAATACTCAGTAATTCAAGAGAATGAATGCTTTTACCTTTAATTTATTTAAATATTATAAGTCAGTGTTGACATCATCTTTTTCATTTGCACTGAATTTTCCTTTTCAAAACTCATAACTAATTAATAGCGCCTCAAAGCTGGGGGTGATTATATTACAGTACATCACGATGGAATATCTTGTTGCTAGGCCAAACTATGAACGCACACAGCGAACCTAACAGCAGCATCGCAAAGAGTTGTGCTAAGAGTGTCACTTTATGTACTACTAACAAATCATTTTTAAAACCAGCAGCTAATGCACACATACACAATAATCACTAACAAACTGGCCACCGCAACCAGTTGATTTATGCACATATTAGCAGCAAACCAGCAGTTTGATTAAAGGGCCATAGAAAAGGTGATGGACGTTCATAGTACATTTTGTACACTATAGGAATATTTCCTAAAGTGTCTTATAAAACCTGACTATAATTACTTATTAGTTTATGGCAAGAATAACAAAAATATAGATAGGTGCTCATCATTAAAGGCGGTAACATCAGTAAAATTGATTGTCTTGAAAATGGAAGGAAAAGGTCATAAAATTTAATTACTGCTTGTTGCCTTCTACCCAAGGGTCTCCCTATTGACAAAAATGGCGGTGACTTACCTTCTTTTCGTGTCACTTCTTCTAACAACAATCGTCGCATTTGCTGGGCAGTTTGTATTTTTTGAAGACTGCTTCTCATTCACAGTAATTAATGACCTTGTCTTGTGTTGGCATCTGTATTCTTTCTGAAAGAAAAAGTTTAAAACAAATCTAAAGTAAGATAAATAACTCTAATTGTTTATGGGTTTGAAACAAGTCCCTATGTTGTGAAGTTTTAGCACTCTAATTATTTTCTCTGCAAGGCCATTGACATATGGGATGTTTATAGACTTCTGTTTGTTAATTTGGGTGTCCTGTTTTATAGTTTTTTGTCTTGTTTCTTTTTTTGGATAGGTTTCTAGTTGGTTTTGTGGCCTTTTAAATAGAAATCTATAAATCAGGAGTGGGCATAAAAATGGGTTGGAGGGCGAAAGAAAATTTTTGATTTTACACCCAAACTTTGATTTTCTAGTGATTAATCTCATATAAGATAATATAATACATACTCAAAATATTGAAATGCACGCCATCGTGTCGGGATTTAATATTTCGACATCAATTATGTCATCATCAGGAATCATCCCCGATGACGACATAATTAATGTCGAAATATTGAATCCAGACATGATGGCGTGCATTTCGATATTACTGTACTTGAAAAACAAAAGTTTTTCTAGCCAAAGATGGTTGACAGGCCACACAAATAGGGATTTTTATTTATTTTTGCGAGCTGCAAAAAAACAAAAAAAAAAACAATTTTGGGCCGCATGTGGTCCACAGGCTGCACTTGGTCCACCTGTGCTATAGATTGATAGCAAACACAGATCCAGAGATTGAACTCGTCCAGACTATCGCACAGGGCCAGATCCATAGGGGAAGGTCCACATTGCCAGCTCTTTTAATACTCAGACGATCTGAATTTATAAAACAGATGTTACTCTATTTACGGCATTTCTATTAATAAGTAACTGAATAGTTTCGAACTGAACCCAAGACAATCTGGCGCTGCAGTGACAGTACTTTAGACCTGACCTTCTCTAAGGCGATCAGTGCCAAGAGCTGGATCTGCGTCTAGAGAGAAATAAACAAAACATTACCTTAAAAAGATTCTTAATGCCGGTGGGGAGGTATGTCCGAGCCACACGCATTGTTGTCTTTGACTTGAGTTGAAACTCATGGAACCATTCTAATGCTGCCTCTTCTGTTTTGGTATTCACAGCAAATGAAACCCAGAAGCTGTTTTCACCTATTTCTTTAACGTTGTCACAGATACAATATGCATAGTTTAAGGGAAGATAGGTCTGGATAAAAAAACAAGAGAAATTATGTATATAGCACACAATTTTATTTAGTGAGCTGCCATTCTTTATGCATTCAAAGAGATAAGTAATAATAATCAAAATATGTTGATTAACTTCATTTCAGTCTCATTTATTAGATGTGATTGTGAGCTGTTCCATAAGACCTGGATATATAGTACTGTAGATATCTAATCTAAAACTGTCTTGGCCTAGGCCCTAGTTTAAAGGATAGTAGCCTGGTTTTCATACCGCTGAAATGAACTTTAGCAAGAAAAAACATGAAAGGAAATTTATTTTTGGTTTTTCTGAATCAGCATACGCATAGTGTCTCAGAAAAAAATCCCCATCCCTAGGGCAATTTTTTTTCTATGGCACTTTGAAATTTTAAAAGACCATATTTTTGACTCATAAAGATCTGATAATCCCATTTTCATAATTATTAGGATCGGGGTAGTATAGCAAGCATCATAAAAGAAATTCATCAGCATTCATATTTACTATAATAAAATGTCGCAAATGTAAGTAAATTTGGATATTTTATAAAGAAAATAATACTTGAAGGACAGGAAGTTGTTGAAACTACAATATAGGGAAAAAACTCCAAGTCAACTTTCCCCACATCAACAGCCAATTGTTTTGTTCCCCAATTTCCTTTGATTTTTGTGAATGGACTGCATGTTGGTTTTTCTTTGTAAGTACAAAAATCAACTTGGACCAGAGAGTCAACTCAGTTCCAAACCAGCCCATTATGCACATTTTTTTTTACTAAAAGATTTTCTGTTTAATAATGCATTTAATTTACAAACTAACAAAACTGTACTTACATGATTTTGAAAAATAAAATAAAAGCTTCATGTTAAAAGGAATAGGTAGAAAATCCTGTGTTATTAATTTGTTATCATTTTTACAATCTTGGCATTATTGCTTTTCTGTTATGTTTGAAATTATTGATATTATAGGCCTACTTGCTAAAGACTCCATTTTTTATTTACAAAAGAAGTAAAATTTGGAGAAATAAAAAATAAATGTCATCTACACATTAAAGACATTGGTAACAATATAACATATGAATATATTTTTCCTTTCTTATTCATTAACTGCTAGTTAATTAATATTTAATGTTTGTCAATATAATTTGCATTAGCCTAGACCATAGTATACATTTTCTATTATAAAAATACATACTAAATATTTTTATATTGTTTTGTACAGTATCTGTTATGGGTATTATGTTTTTGTCTTTTTTGAGTGTTATTTTGAATATACAGTATAATATATCCTAGGCCTAGCTTATGCAAAAAAAACATGGCTAGGCCGGCTACTCCATAGTCGACTACTACTGTACTAAGATGTGCAAGTTGCATTGAATTGATAATTGGTGATCTGCTAACGTTAGTGGATCACCTCTTGTTATTGTCAGGGATCATCATCTTTTTATTCTTCTTTCTTTCTCCCCTTTTTCTGTTCGCACGATATCTCAAAAAATGCCACGAGTTACGCACAATCGCTGTCAGCGAACATTTGGCTTGGTCTGGAATAGTCATGGTAAGCTTTTGTATAAGAGACCATGCGTGACGTCATCTACGTGCAATTTTGCGTTTTTACATTATCGATCATATCAGCCTAACCAATTGCCATTTCGAAATCGTATAAAGTGAGCATTAACTTCGGGTTAATGTTGAATGTACTGTACCCTAATTTTACGCGTGCGCTTTATAATGCGCGCGAGGCGTGCGTCAAAATTTCAAAATGCTCGAAATCAATTTTTAACTAAATTAGAGCACGTTTCCGGCCATTTTGAGCATTTCAAATTTTTTAAAAATTTTCCACTACGCGTGCGCAGTTTTACGCGCGCAGCACGTACGGAAGCTAGACACTATGTTTTTTCACATAGTTTGGGTTCCTGACATTGTTTTCACAAACTTCCATTCTTTTCGGTCATCTTTTGGCCAATAGCAATACCGTACGTGCGCATCAAACATAGGTATCTTTGCGCGTATTTGTGCTGCTATACAGTGAAATTATCCTAAAATCAGGCCTATTTTTAATCAGTTATAGCTCCTTAGGTTGAAAGGTGACCCCCAATTTTCATTACATATTCTTAAAGCACATAAGTTGTAAATATGATTTTATAGATCTTAATGGCTGATTGGACATTATGACATCATCATATTGGCATCTGAATTCAAAGAAAGTGATTTATAGCTATGACGTCATTTTTGAAAATACGCATTTCAGCGTATCTCACTTATCCTTGATCGATCGTCTTCCAACTTTGAGTATGTTATAGCTGAGACAATTCTCTTCATATATTTCTTTTCTTCTTCTTTTTACATTTTGATGACGTCATCATAGTCAAAAAATTTGTTTTTTTCGACCCCCACATCTTTCTTTCATCTAAAAGTTGATGAGCCCATATCATCTTAACCATTCGTCATTTCTGAATCATATTAAGTGAGCATAATCTTCAGGTCAAGGTTGAATGTCAGGTACCTTAATTTTCTGTTCGCGCGACTTAACGTGCGCGTACGCGTGCATCAACGTTTATATATGCATATAACCATGAATATTTTTAATCAGTTATAGCTCCATAGGATGAAAGGTGACCCCCAATTTTTATTACATATTCTGAAAGCATACGAGTTGTAGATACGATTTTATAGATCATATTGGCTGATCGGACATTGTGACGTCATCATATTGCCATTTGAATTAAGAAAAAATTGAATTTTTATTTATGACGTTATTACTTTTTATACTCGTTTGAACGTACTCACTTATCTTGATTGATTGTTTCCCACCTGTGAGTATGTTATAGCTAAATCAATTCTCTTTCGGACGTGTCCCTTTATTTATTATTTTGATCACGTCATCATGGTCAAAAAGAATGCTTTTTTTGGAGCCTTCTCATCTTTCTTTCTTAAAAGATGTAAACACATTGAAAATAGAGGGCGGCAGACTGTATTTCGACACTATCAGACCGATAGTTAGTAATGTATACTGTAAAGGCAAAATTTGTGTGGCATTACCAACCAACAGGGGGTTTTAAATTAAACTTGACAAGGTTTAAATTCATGGGCCATTACCGTCGTCAAGCACTCGTATAAGGTATTCGTACTTGTACTTTTAAAATTGTTAATATCACTTTTCAGATAATTTAAAGAACGTTTCAGGTCATTTTGAATATTCCAAAACTTTCCAAAATTTACGCGCTGTACGCTCATTTCCACGCCCACAGCACATACTGAAGCTGGAAATTACGTTTCGGTTACATGTGTTGGGTTTGTGACACTGTATTAATACTACCGTGAGCACGGACGTTAAGACGTATGTGTACACATTCGTAAGTCCTTAAAATGCTCAAAATTACTCTTTTCCTTTAAAATTTCTTTTAAAATGCTCAAAATTACTCTTTAAATAGAGCATGTTTTAGCATATATTACTTTTCAATCAGAACCACGTGTGCTTCGTGAGGGTCAAAGTACGGCGGATCACCAAACTCGTCCTCAGTGACGAGTTCAAATCTAGTTAAATTTATATTTGACCAATTTGATTTTAAATAGACAGATGACTATAAACAATAAATTTATATGTGTTAGGCCTATGTTATTATACAGTATTTACTATGGTTTTGTAATTTATATATTTCTATTTTTGTACAATTTGTTAAACTTACATATAATAAATGATAAGAATGTATGGAGTTTTTTTTTTTTTTTACTATCTGGCAAGCCGACTGAGCAAATACTCACAAAATTTTAATTAAAACAACAGAAAGAACGAGTAAATAAATTGAAATATGCCCCAAAAATATTTAATAAAAGTTAAAACAGTAAAACCATTAAAATAAGGCCCCATAAAAAAAAATGATTAGTTTATCATCCCCGCGCGCATCTCTTTTGACGAAATTGCGATTTTTTTTTTTTTTTTTACTAGATTTTTTTCATTGAAAAAACGATCGTTTGTTCGTCAAAAACAAATTTTAAGGCTGGTGAATGATGATTTTCGATCTTTAGAGTAGTCGCCAAGTAACAATATCTATTTATAGGCGATCTTTTTCATACTGCGCATGTCCACAAAGAAAGAGATATGACGTTCGTTGACGACGAACGGCGAACAAATCTCGAAGTTTCGCGCGCTAGCTTTGCTCTCTCTATAATATCTAGGATCTCGATCCACCCTGTGGTGGCTGGATTTTGTGTTCAGCATGCCGCTTATTGTCATGCAAATCTGGGAAGGAATAAAAGTTGTCAAGGATTGGTTCGCGAAGAAAATACCAGAAGATTGTACGGTCAATGAGGTTTTTAATTCATTTAATTCTGGGGATATTGGCGGAGGAACAGACCTAGTAAAGCATGTTCAAATACATGCAGCATGTTTTAAGTAAAGATTATTATTATTATTTCAAATTCTATTCATTATTTATTTCACCATGTCACCTTTTATTTATTAAATATATTCACCTTGTCAGCCTTTATTGAGTTAATATGTTTTCAATTTATACTCTACATTGTTTTATCAAAACATATTGCAATATCCTAACATCAGACTTTTAAAGATGTTACTGGCTGAAGTACAGTAGATAGTTCATTGTATTTCGTATAGTTGTACTTCAAACTTTCAATATTCAGGTAAATTGTTTTGTTATAGATCACCTTTTTAGTTGTGGTCAGGAACTTCATTATTTATATACAATATTGTATATATTCTTGCCATCTTTAATATTTAAAATGCATATTTAATAAAAGTACATGTGTTCTTGTTAATCCGACTTCACTTTATTCTTGACTTTTGTGTTTTTAAACCAATCACACTGGCGAACAGCGATGGGACACTTCACCAGCGATGGGACACTTCACCACCCCCCCCCCCAAAAAAAAACAAAAAAAAACCTCCCTCCCTCATCAGTTTTTTGGTCTTGATAGGATGATAAACTAATAATTTTTTTTATGGGGCCTAATTGAAATACTCCCCAAAAATATTTAACAAAATAGTACAAATAACGAATAAGTTAATTGAAATACGCCGCAATTAACGCACTACATTCACTGAGTCTTAGTGAGAGACGCGCTTGGCGTTTCATAGAAATGACTGGCGGCTCAACTGGTCATAATAACTCCCTGGTAAGAGTAAGAAGACCTAGACTAGGGTGAGGAGAGGGCCTAGGCCTCTAGCTAGTCTAGGCCTAGTACTAAAGGCCAAGGCCTAGCTAGGCCCTAGCCCTATAGCTAGTCTAGAGTACTAGGCCTAGGCTAGGTAGGCCTGGCCCTACTTACTTAGTACTTACTGCCTGCTACTACTACTACTAGCTAGGCTAGGCCTAGTACTTAGCCTAGCTAGGCCCTAGCCTAGGCCTACCGGGTCGTTCAAAGTCTAAGCCTAGAATAGTTACAGTTACAGAACTTACAGAAAGATTATCAATCTGATTTTTTGATAATGTTATTGACTGATTGCAAACTTCGAAATTCAGCTCTTTTTCCATATCGTTTCGAGATTTAGGCCCTACTTATCTCAAACAATTTCCCCGAGCGATCGAAGAGACTCGAGTGAGGTGAACAAGCGCCCCCTATATTGCTGAGTTATCTATAAAATTTGATACAGTTATGTGCCTATTTCAAGAGCCAAAAAGTATGAAATTAACACATATAATATAAAAATACATTCCTGGTCATACCAGAATAATACTTATAACAATTAAGAAATAAAAATTTAATATTCATGACAATACAATTTTGTATTTGAATCTTCACGTTTGACCTTTCTTCAAATCCGGGTTGCTTGGTACCTAAGCAATAAACAACAATAATAATATGCCTGGCTCGCCAATTTGTCTGAATCAGTGCTGCTGATTAGGCCTATAATACCGAGAAATACTAGCCTATGCTAGGGGAAAAGTAGTCTGTATTTTAAGGATTAATTCATAGTATATAAAACGGTAAGTTTTCTTTTGTATTTTAAATGGAAACAGCAAATCCATGGTGTGTTGAATTAGGCCCACTCACACAGAACAGGCTAGGCCTGGCTAGGCCTAGCAAGGTAGGCTAGCCTGTACTGGGTGCAGGTCAACTCGGCCACAAGTCAACTCGGCCACAGACAACTCGGCCACAAGTCAACTCGGCCACAAGTCAACTCGGCCACAAGTCAACTCGGCCACAAATCAACTCGGCCACAAAAATTTCGGCTTCTGCCAACTCGGCCACAAGTCAACTCGGCCACAAATCAATTGGCTACGTTCTACTCGGCCACAAGTCAACTCGGCCACAAGTCAACTCGGCCACAAGTCA